GAAGGGCATCCACAATACTTCTGCTGCTAATGGAGCTGACTTGCTCCTCCTGCTGTCCAACTGGATGACTTAGTGCCCCTGCCAGAGGGTAGACAGGCCCACCTCCCCACAGGGTCTGGGACCAGGACTTGGGATAGGCTGGGAGGTCTGTGGGAGACTGGGCTAGCCCCAGGCTGAAGGCTCTGAGCTGAGACTGAGTGTCATGGGCACCCAGGAATATCCACTCTTGGTGCCAGAAATCCTTGGGCTCTGCCAGCCCCAGTCTGGGGGAGGAGGAGGAAGTGAGGGGAGAGCATGAGCAGGATGGGGGTGAGGAAGAGAGGGTGAGAGCTTGGTGGAGCAGCAGAGGCCGAGAAGGGCTCTGTAATGGAAACTTGGCGTACAGCCCCAGCTTACTTCCCTTTCTTGGTCCAGGCAGCCTGAACCTTGGCTGGAAAACTGGGCTTCCTCCCCTTTTAGCAGCTGCCTGCACTATCTGCCCTGTGCCCTCCTGGCCCCCTTCACTCCACCCCACCCTTCTCCCCCATCTCAGAGCCTCGCAGCCAGGGGGACCACCTCTGCTGGTGATATGTGACATGGGAGCCTGCTGCCTTCCTCTCTTGACTGCCACCCCCACCCCTTGCCCATCGCCTTCCTCCTCCCCACCACTCTGACTGCCTCTTCTGAGTAATTAGGCCAACATGCAACTTCCAGGGCCTGGCAGATGAAGAGCCAAGAATGCCATGGATGAGGGCCAAGTGTTTTTGTTGACATTGCTCGAGTGTAACTCTGTAGAGCAGCTTCTTCGCAGTAGCAGAGAAGCCCAAGGAAGCAGAGGATGTGTGTGAGGAAATAGCAGTGACCACAGTGAGGTTGTGGGCACTTCTCTGTGCTGTGTTCTTCGTCGCCCGCTCCCCAGACCTGGGCCTTCCCTGCAGCCCACCCGCTTCTTCCCCTTCTCCCTAAAGACAACAGGAAGATCTATAAACAGTTCACAGATAGCGCCTGCTGCTAAAAGAATAAAAGAGGCATAGATTTCAAGCATTTTTGTATCAGAAGGAAGTTTCCTTTTAATTCTATTTTCCATGAACTTTTGGAAATTCCCTGATATAACCAGCCATCCATGTCATGGCCAGTGGGACCAGCCTTGTCTCTAGGGAATTAACATACAGTAGAGGGAATGTACATGACACACATGTAGAGTGCTCACACTTCACTGTGATTTCTGGCCATTTCTGGGCAAAAACAGCCATCTTTGCAACAGGTCCAATTGAGGCAGTCTTCCTGCCTAGTGTATTATAAAGTGCAAGATATATTGCAATCTACTTTAGCAAGCTGTGTCATACCATCAGGATGGATCTCATTCTATGTATGCAAGTATCTACAAATAACTTGACCCTTTGGGGTCACCAGATCCGGGGTCAACTTTCGTTCCATCCATCTGTTTGTTATGTGATCTTGGGCAATTGATTTAATCTGTCTGTGCTCCACTTTCCTTATTTGTGAGAGAGAACTGACATTTCCATATGGTGAAGATTGGAAAATTCTTCATATGTCATAGTATATGGAAGTCATGGCAGCTAAAGGGTGAGTGACTTGGTTGTGGATTGGCTCCGGCCTTAGGTTGAGCTAATCACTTGCACTCACTTATTCACCCCAAAGGAAAGCTGACCCCAGCCAGACTTAGCTGCTCCCCTGCCTCCCCAGGAGTGTTGTGAGGACGAATGAACGGAACAGTGCTGTCAAACTTGATTTTTGGTGGCAGAGAAATGACTGCAAAGCCTTGCTTTCCCAGAATCTGGTGTTTGGGCTGTTCTAGCAAAGGACAGTGGTCAGATATATTTTTGTTGAGGTAAGTTTGTGGGTTTTGGAATTTGGAGGTGTTGTCTTAATAACTTCTGATTTCTGAAGATATTGAATTATCATGTTTAACAAATCCTGATTTTCTGCTATAATAGTTGGCTTTATTTTTACATCTCTTAACTGATATCAGCTTTTCTCTTAGAATTACAGATCCATGGAAACTTGGCGTATGCACCAACCTTGGAAGTCACTGGAAGGGATATTTCTTTACTTCTTTGCAGATCTTTAGGGTCTCTGAGAAGCTTGGTATCCTATTACCACAAGTCCCTTTCTCTAACCCAGATTATGAGAGGGATAGAGCAGCCAGTTTGCCCAACTTTGTGTGAATCTTTAGCTACCATACAGGTTGACAGATGTTACAATGCTCTGCCCACATCACATTGTTCCAGCCACAACAGTATACACTGGCATGATACAGCTTCTATTACCTGCGTCTCATTATTGGATGCATTATTGGATGGCAGATTGAAGATGTAAAGGAATGAAGACTCCAGGGAATAGTTAGCTTTCAGCCAGTGGAAGACCAAAAGCAGGTGGATAAATACCCGTGCTCCCTCATCCTTTGAGTGTCTTAGATGTGTGTCAACATTGGTCCCTTGACTCTCATCTCTGGTTGCTGCATCTCTGGTTGCTGCATGCCCACATTGGTCCCTGAGCTTTCCGAGGGCTTAAGCTGCAGGTGATTCATCCTATTCACGTGCTCTATGGGCTGTCCCGTCTTCCATGTCTCATTGCACCATGGCTCTAATGGTTCTTCCTGGAATTTCCTTCCACAGAAACCCTGCTTCCTAAGTCCTCCTCTCAGGGGCTGCTTCTGGGGAAGTTGGCTGGAGGCACAGATGATGCCTTCCGCATACTTTGGAGCCGTTTATGGTAATAGAGTGTTACACTTACTTTTTAGATTGCTTTCTGGAGTCCACAGAACCAGCCAGTTGTCAAAGTTAGCCAGAATGTTGCTTTTGCCCTGAAGTATCTTAGATAATTCTGACAGTTTTGGGTATACCAAGACACTGGCTACCATACAGGTGTCTGTATTTCAGACTCTGAAATTATTGTTCATCCAAGTTGTGCTCCATATTCTACATTCGTCATTTTTGTTTTGTAGGGCTTTCCTGGCCATACGTAGAAGTTGTAATTTTGTATCTTGATAATTCCACCAGTTGTATCAGGGGATATATTTGAGGAAGACCTTGATGTGTGATCTGTAGGTGTTAGGTATATCTTGGTTGGTTGGAAAAGATGCCCAGAAGCATTGTGATTTCTGAATGTTGTCATGAGTCTCACTCACTCTGTGTTGTGGAATGTGAGTAATGTTTTCAAAATGCTTATCCAGCAGTCATTCTGACGCAGTGGTGCTTGGTGTTATGTAGTGTCATGATTCAGTGATAAAGGAGAAATAACTTGAGAAACCATCAATCACCATAGAAACAGAAGAGTGGATAGGATGACCCTTGACTCTTCAAAACAACATGTCTGAAAAACCATGGGGTCCATGAGTTGGACCCTTGTCTTATGTTTAACTCTATAACCTTACTCTAGCATCCCTGAGACTCATGAGATAGCCATCGCTTGCTGCCTCTTCTTGCTGTTGTACCCAGCCTTTAGATGGAGGCATTTTGATTGTTCTCCTCCTCTACCAGACCCTGGCCTCAGGCCCTGCCATACCTCTGCTTTTTGTCTTGCTGGATTTGTTCTGGATTTGTTCACCAAGGTCAGACTATGAACTATCCTTTCTTGAATTCTCTGCTGGAAACCTATCACATCAGGCTTCCTCCTTCTTTCCCTGGCTGTCTTAGTCCTTTGCTGACTTCCTTTACTTTCCTTATTCTCTGGGGTGGAGGGAGGTTGGGTTCTTTAGTCTCCACCTTCTACCCTCTGTAAGGTCACCCATACATGTGTTACATGCCCTTCCCTGTTCTCTTGTGCCTGTCCTGACACTCTGCCTCCATCCAAGCCTCCCTTGGGATGCTCTGCAGGCCTTCAAATGCCACACATCCTGTACAGAATGGACAGCATCTTCTTCCCCTCTCTACAGTGTTCTTCAGCCTCTGTTATTTCTCCTAGCACTTCCACAGTCATCTAGAGACCTGGGCACTGGTAAATGCTCATCTTCTAATGTGTATTCTGGGGTCTGCTTTCTCCTAGATCATGCCCTTGTCTCTTGTATGTTAAGTACACTGTGTTGACCTCTCTATTTTGTGCTTTGTGGCTGGTGGAATAGTGCCTTTTTATTGGAGGATCTCATAGAAACAGATCCCCAAGAAAATGTTCAAATGCAAGTGGTTTCTTTGTGAGGTAATTCAAGGAAACACTGGTTTGAGTAGATGTTGCTGAGCCGGAGCGAGCTCATTCTAAATGAAATTGATAATAACTGTCTCTTCCCAACTTTATTTTATTTTTGAAAAGCCATTTATTTTACTTTTATTTGAAAGGCAGAGTTACAAACACACACACACACACACACACACACACACACACGGAGAGTGGGGGAGAGAGAGAGAGATTGGTTGAGATTCATGAACTTATTTTCCATTCTCTGATTCACTCCCCAAATAGCTATAATGTCCTGAATTGAGTTGATCCAAAACCAGGAGCCAGGGAATTCTTCTAGATTTCCCATTTGGGTGCAGGGACTCAAGGACTTGAGTCATCCTTAGGTGGGGGCTTAGCCTACTTCATCATGGTGCAACCCCACCAACTCTTATTTTCAATGACATCATTCTGGTTGCTTGAAGTAGGGGTATGGACACTGGGGAAATTGGCCCATAGCTGCGGGATTGGTTATGAGACAATTCTCAGCATCTTGTTGGGAACAGACTAGAGATAGGAACTAACATGGTGTGTTTTGTCAAGAGACTTCTAATATAGACAATTGGAGGTAAATCCCGCTGGAGACAGCTCTGTAAGTTTGTTAAGAATGCACACCTGCAAGCCATTCCACTCAAGCACTGAGGTGCCAACCCAGTTTCCACCTGCTGTTGACTGAGGACTGCTCTGTGGTCTGCAGTCATCTCCAGCAGCCAGAGCAGTCTTCAGGCAGTGAGAGGCAGGTGGTCTTTCTTCCAGGCAGGACTGACCAGTGTCCACTGGCACCCAATGCTAGTCACGGCTGAAATCCAAAGGTTGATAACCTGTGGTTATTCTCTGTTTCTCTCTAGAATTTGACCTCATGGACCTCATTGGGGAAGACAGAAAGTGGATGGTGGGGAGGAAGCTGATGCAAGTGAATGACACTCTTACTTCTGAAGATGCAGGGCTCTTGAGCAGCAAGAACTGCACCGAACCAGGTAAGATGACAGCTGTGCCACTGGGCAGCAGCTGCCTTTTCCTCTGGGTATGGCTGAGGATGAGTCAAATGCTGTATTTTGTTGTTGTTGTTGTTGTTAATTCAAGTTCTTATCTCAGGAGTCTTGAGGAATATCCAGGGCAGGTGTCTAAGAAACATAAAGGTGAGATCCCATGAGGTGGTGATGATGTGTTTCTGCTTCTGTTTTCTTTGCCTTGTTGAGAAGTGTTCTTTCCAACACAGGACCTATACAAGCATGGAGGCTGGTGCTGGGCTGGCAAGGGGGAAACTGAGTCAGGAGGACATCCAGTAGCCATGCTGGTTTGGAACCCTGAGGTCGTCTCTAGCTGATTTCGTGCCTGGAGCCTTGTTTTTGTCACAGTAGAGACACAAGGCTGGGCCAAGTCTTCATGCTAATTATTGCTGTTCTTTGAAGAAGTGAATTTTGGTCTGTCGTTTGTTGTATTTGCTATATATTGTGTGTTTTCTTAGAAAGATGTGCAACATTCTGCCTCAAAAATTTCTGAGAAAGGCAACACACAGCAAAGTCAAGGGAATGAGGGATGGTCCTAACCCAGATCATGAAGCCTTCTGGGCTGTGATGAGTTCCCTGAGAGTTGGAACAGAAAGGAGGCGCTGGGTCTTGGGAGAGGCCAGCCTTGTAGGCCCAGGATGAGGGCTCTTCAGAGGGTTCATGGAAAATACACATTATTAAAAACACTTAGGAATAGGTATCAGGTTTTTTGATGCCCAAATCAACTTGTAGTTCTCTTTCGTTCATGAACTTTTACAATACCCTCACATGATCTCGTTGTCTATGATACATTTATTTAAAATAAACTATGCAGTGCATTTAAAATTTAAAAACCATTGTTAGTTCATGGGCTGTGTAGACACTTGTGTGGGATATGTTGGGTCTGGGGCCTGACTTGGGCGTGGCCACTCCCTGGAGCCCCCTTCAGGGGCTCAGTGATGCATTGCTCTCGCATGCAGTGCTATCATATAAGGACATAAACAATCCTCGTGGCAAAGAACCACAGGCCTTGGAGTTCAGGAGTTTCGGTAGTATCTCCTCATTTGTGGGGAAGGTAGGGAGAAGGGCCCTTCCCTGCCACACCTAGGATCTTAAACAATCAGCTCCAAAAGCAAAGTACTCCAGAGTTAAAAATAGTTTTCCCCACCCCTCCAAAAATCCCTACAAACCCAGTACTCCTCTATATAAAAGACTGAGAGCTGCATGGAGTCGTAGGCTCAACACTCCCATTCTTGATGACTAGTGAAAGCCATGGGCAGCTCTGTTAGCTCAAAATGAAAATGGCCACAAGGGCTTCAGTACTTGAGCTCTGGCTGCTGAATCAGGTGTGTCATCAGAAGAGATGTAACAGGGATGGCAGGGGTTCTTTGGCAGGATCCCTGTTGGTTAATCTGGCCTTAAGACGGGAAGTACAGTATTCAAAAATCCAGTTATCACTTTTGTATAGGAAAGGATGGATCAGAAATGGTGTTGGCTTTGATCACATGCAGAGTTGCATGGGAGTGGAAGACTTTTGTGTCCTGTTGTTAGGGTTGTGGTCTGGGGGAACAGGAGGTGGTCTCTCTGTGAGTAGCTGTGCTCAGTGGGTGAGGAAATGCCTTTTGCAGAGTGACAGATGTGAAAGCATCCAGTGGATTAAAAAACATCCCCAGAGAGGAAATGACTCAGCTTCACGAATAGCAAAGATGGGCACAAACCAGGTGCCTGCTGGGGTTGGTAGGAGTGGGGGAGGAGGAGAGACAGAGACAGGGAGAGAGAGAGAGAGACCCCAGGATGGGAGGTCAGTCAAGCTATGTAGAGCAGGCCCCAAAAAAATATGGAACCAGATTTCTTCACCTGGTGACTCAAGGCTTAATTTCTGGGGATCTTGGTCCTGAAACCTGAAAATGATTATATAAGAGACAGGAAGAGTCCTAGTCTGTTCCTAACACAGCAAGGTCCTCAAGCCCAAGTCCTTCCTGAAGCCTTGCTGAGGCCACCCCAGGACGCTGGAACCATTCCCTTTTTTGAATATCATTGGTGTAAAATGTTGTCAATGGTGCTGTCCGATATGATCAATCAATGGTGATATATGAATTAACTTCTGCAGTTGGCATTGTGGCCCAGTGGATTAAGCCTGCACCTGTGACACTAGCATTCTGCTGAGGTGCTTGTTGGGTCTTGGCTGCTCTGCTTATGACCCAGCTCCATGATAATGCATCTGGGAAAGAATAAGATGGCCTGAGTATTTGGGCCCCTGTAACCATATAGGAGACCCAGATGGAGTTCCAGGCCCGTAGCTTTGGCCTGGTCCAGCCCTCAGCCATTGTGGCCATTCAGGAAACGAATCAGAGGATGTATATGAATTTCCGTCCCACCTCTCTAATTCTGCCTTTCAAATAAATAGGTCAATCTTTAAAAATTAAAAATTGAGATTCTTAATTGGACTAGCCATAGATCAAGTAACCAACAGCAGTCTGTGGCTATTGGTTACCATGATTGGACAGCACAGATTGTGGGACAGTTCCTGTTGCACAGAAAGGTTTGTTGCACAGGCTGATCTTGAACTTTAAGTTGTCTTTGGAGAAATATCCTTGCAGCTTAACTGCAGGCGTCTCAGGGCTATGGAGGGATGCATCGATCTCAGCCCCTCTCTAAGTGGGTTTTGGAGTCCTGCTCACCAGATTTGAATCCCAGTTGAGAGAAGTAATGTCAGGCTCTCCAAGCCCCTGTGTACTTCTTTGTCAATTGAAGTCATTCTTCAGACCTTTGCTGATTGTTGTGAGAATTGACCATGATGTCATACAGTAGAATGCAGTAGCCTGTGTTTGGTTTCTCTGTAGGAAGAGCCTACTGAAGAATTGTGTCCTGTCTGCTGGGGACCACGTTTCCTGATTATGGATGGGTCATCATGGTTCTTAGGGATACATTCTGTAGCATGTTTCCATAGTGAATTGGAGTCTCAGGCTTTGAAGAGCTGGTACATGGCAGTAACAATAAGAAGCAGAAGTATTTGTCACTGCTCAAGTCACCTGCTTCTAAAGACAGTGCAGTGGAAACCTTGTCACAGATCCGCATGGCCCTCCCTGCAGTGCTGTCAGGAATCTGTTTCTTAGCTTTGAACAAAGTGATACTTTATGCAACATCAAAGCAGTGAGTCAGATCACTGATTGAGGGCTGCGATTGTGATAATATTTGTCTTTTCTGTCTGTAATTTAGTGTTGGATGGGAGAATGGCACTGGAGTGAGCCGGGGTCAGGACCTTGACCAGACATCTCCCAGTTTCCTTTGCAAGCTCAGTGTCCTTGTATATTGCTTGTAATGATCAGCTGCAGTGGTGTCTGCCCTGAAAAGTCTTCCATGTAGACTCCCTGCCTATTTGTGAATATGCTATTAGCAGTCATCTACTCAATGGGATTCTATCAGAGGGATGGTAAGGAATGGTTACATAGGGACTGGAGTGTTTGGGATGTCAGTGGGTGTTGCAGCCATGTGGGACCTGGCGTTCAGATCCTTGAGGTCTCTCATCAGGAATGCCCCATGGCCACCTCTGATGTCACAGGCCACTCCTAAGGTGTCCCAGGGACCCCTGGGTTTAGCAGTCTTTGAGTAAAGCCATTGACTCAAGCAGTGGAGATTGAATTGCCTCTAGTCTAATTGTGTTTCCTCTGGGAATTAGGGGCTGGCTTGCTCTCAGACATTCATTCCTTGACCAATGGAAAAATAAATCCTGGTTCATCTCTTTTATTGCACAAACTTGTTGATTCCTAGATATTCTAAGAATGCAGACTCACAAAACCTTTTACCCTGAGACAGACACTTTGCTCAGGAACTTCTTCATGTTACAAAATGCCATGCCGTTCCTCAGCCCCACCTCTGCTCCCTCCATCCCTCTCCCACCCTGCCTTCCTTCTCCTTTTTGAAAAGACCACAGCACCCAGGTTGTGGGCCAGGGATGCTCAGGGTGTCAGGTCCTGTTGCAAAATGCCAGTGCTTTTATTTTTTTTTAAGATATATTTATTTTATTTGGAAAGTCAGATGTACAGAGAGAGGAGGAGAAACAGAGAGGAAGATCCTCCGTCTGATGGTTCACTCCCCAAGAGGCCACAACAGCTGGAGCTGAGCCAATCTGAATCTAGGAGCCAGGAGTTTCTTCTAGTCTTCCACACTGGTGCAGGATCCCAAGGCTTTGGGCCTTTGTCCTCTGCTTTTCCAGGCCACAAGTAGGGAGCTGAATGGGAAGTGGGGCCATTGGGACATGAGCCAGCAGTCATATGGGATCCCTGTGCATGCAAGGTGAGGACTTTAGCCACTAGGCTACCACGCTGGGTCCTGTGCTGTTGGTGACTTATGATAACCTTGACATGGCATGATCACTGTATATTTTCTGTCACTTTAAACATATGTTGCTTTATACATTTAAGATGTTTTTAAAAAATGGTGTTTTTCTTCTGCCACTCAAAAGACCTGATTTTGATAGAAACTTGTGAGTTTTTTTAACCTCCAAAATAGCCTAAAAAAGACTGACCCAGGGTTTTGATTTTTTTTCTGCAATCATTCCAGCTCTCTGTGAATTTTTAAGGTTGTTTTTTTGCCTGACACTGCCGATTGCATCTGCAGCCGGGAAATGTATCATTGTCTTGGCAAATAACACTTGAAACTGTTTACTCAAATGACCTATTAAGAGAAATTTAACTTTGAATAAATTTGATCCACGGAAAATTAAGTTAGCTAAATGTAATATTGAGGGCGGTGGACAGCTGCAGCAGAAATGAATTCTTTGTAATATTTATGTGTACACTTTGCATAAATCTATTTACATACTTTGCTGGCTGTCTCCAGGAAAATCCATCATCATTTGGATCTTGGTTCTTTGCTGTTGTAAGGCAATGAGTCTTTCTTCAAAATGCTTCTCTGAAATAGGCTTTGGAAGAAGGGATATATTGCTGATGATGGCCTGTGGTGTGGACTTGGCCGTGAGGTCCCTC